CACCCAATAGGCTACAGGGTGATGTCGTCGTTGTTGTTGTTGTTTTGGTGCCGGATTGCTTGTTTACTGGCCCCATTGAAAGTTGACAAGTCACATACTCTGCTCACCCAATAGGCTATAGGGTGATGCCGTTGTTGTTGTTTTTGTGCTGGATTGCTTGTTTACTGGCCTCTTCTAGTGCTTGTGTCAGACGGTTGTTCCGTGATACTGAAGGCGTCAATTTCCATGTGCTAAGACAGTTGGCATGTTGCTTTACCAGCCTCTTCTAGTATACCGAAAAAGGGTTTCCCCCGCTTTATAAATAAAGCACCAACACTTACATCCAAGTAACCGATACAAACGCACGCCACATAACCCAAGGCAAGATACAAGAATGCCGGGCACCGACACACAACTTCAACGACTACCAAGAATCAACAGAAATGAGCAAAAAGAACCGCTTGTAGCCGACGGAGACCACCATCAAGATGAGAGATCGTCCGGGAGGAAGTGCAACGGACCACGCCGGACCGAGGGTTCCAAGACGATGCCTCCAAGAAGGGCACGACCACGGACCGTCGCCATCGTCCGATCCAAAGATCAGGTTTTCACCCGGAACACGACGAGAGGAGTGAGAGCACCACGACGGAGCCTGCAGGGAGGAACACGACATCCGCGGACGCCGCCACCGTCGACCCGTGTACGGACAGGTAAGTGATGAACCCCGGTGCTCCACCCTTCCGCTGCATCCCCGGTCGGCCAACCACATGCAACCATGCCACCCAAGCGGCCGTGGTTGCATGCCCGCATCCGAGTCGCGCAGTCCGCCTACGACCCACGCGACTCCCACCGCCAGGGCCGCCGCCCCGCCACCGGACCACCCCGAGAAGCCCCAAAGGTCACGTCTTGGACAAGATCCATGAGCCCAACCACCTCAGAACCGCCGGCGACCACTGCCTCAAGGGGACCCGAGCCCAGATGGCCGGGGGAAGGGGGAGGAGGAGGAGCGGCCTATGGCCCAGATCCGCACGAGAGCGCCGGCCACCGCCCGCTGCCGAGGAGGAGGGCGCACGGATCCGCCGAGCTGCATCCATGAGAGGCCATCGGGGAGGCCTTCCCGCGCCGAGCGCCGCCGTCCAGCCGCAGGGGCCCGGCTGGACAAGGGCCGCCCACCTCCGCCGCTGCCGCGCCGCCCCTCCACCTGAGAGCCACGCCGAGAAGGGCCGCCCGCGACCCGCAGCGCCAGACGAGGCGCCGAGGCGCTGCTGCGAAGCAGCCGCCGCCGCCACCACCCGCCGGCCTGCACCACCACCATGCCGCCTGTCGCCCGACGCCACGCCGCCGTCGCTGGCCTACTCCGGAGCGCCGCCGCACCGCTACGCCTGGCACGAGCGCAGCATCCCCACCGGCGAGATCCGGCCCGCGCCGCACCCCCCACGCAAGGAGACGAGATGGCCCCGCCGCCGCCGGCGACGACCGGGCTTAGCCCGCTCGTGCCCCTTGGCGGCGGCGAGGAAGGAGAGAGAGAAGGGGAGGGTGGCGGCGGCGGCGCTAGGGTTGCCCCCCGGACGCCCGCGGGAGGGGAGGGGAGGGGAGGGGCTCGCCTCTTCTAGTATAAGGCTATGCATCTCATCGATATGCCAACGGACGAATTATGTTCTCCGTGTTGCCATAATGCCCTTTGGAAGGATAATCAATGGCCTTCCTGCCGGGTATCTGGCCAGGAAGCTTTGAACAAAGCTAATTAGCATGAAAGTCTTTCCAGAACCTGATGCATGTGCTAGAGTACAACCTCCAGGGTTGTTCTTATCAGCCAAGTTGTTGATCAAGAAATTAAAACCTTCCACTTGGCGAGGTTTCATCTGTTCTGAATGCTGATGGTGGATTGATAGAGCACCAGGGACTGCTTGAAGAATTATCTCCTAAAGGATTGGTAGTTGCCTCCAGATCATTGCAGCTTCTGGGTTCTGGAAGGTACCTTCTGTATGATTGGTTGTGCTGCTGCAAGGAAGAGGAAATGAGAGATGTGGCTCCACTGTTATGGAAAATAAAGGGAATTGCTCTCTTTTTTTTTCAAAAGAAATCTACATGTTTTAACGACGGGGGCTTCAGTTAGGATTTAGTCTAAATTTGAACTGCATCCCAGTAAAGTCCTCTTTTAAAAAACAGAGAAAAGGTGGAAATTCAAACAAAAGTCAACTGTATCAGTCAAAAGTTATAAAACATGTAATGGGTGTTCGTACAGGAAATTTGATTCTTCTATCAATCATCGAGGACGAATAACCGATGAACTAAATTTGGACTATAACATCCAGAATTGATCATCAATGAGTTTGATTGACAAGATGCTATAACTAGTTGATGCTGGGATGCCAAATGAAGTTGTGTACTTTGATTCTTTTAGCAATTAACTATATAGTATCCAGGAAAGTAAACTGGACCAATTTGGATTGGAAACTCCATACCTTTTTCCACTGCAACTCAAAAATATTCTTTATGTGTTGCTGGACCAAATCACAAACACGGCATACAATGCCCAAATCATCTTTCATCAAGAAGTCATGATAACAATCATCCACTACTTCAGAACTATTCTTCTTCAACGAAACAGTAGTGTGATTAATTCCAGTGTCCTGGTTAAATAAACTATGTTGGTCAGACTCATCAAAAAACAAGTAGTGACCCCCACAAAAAAAAGTAATGATACAAGAATACAGAGGAAATGTGTAAAGGAACACAATTAAGAAAAACAGTAGTATGATGATGTTAGGGCATCAAAATATGTGTTTGAAAACGTAAAAGGATTTGATGCAAATTCAGAACTGGCTGTTTCCAGAACAACCAGTAAGACTGTGTGCCGAGTAATAAATTGAAAAATAGTGTCACATAACTGACCTCGGGCATTATATGGAGACAACATTCACATTATTTTTATTTTGATACACCAAGTAGAGGAAGAAATGGTGCTCGACTATAGGCATGTACTACAAATGTTCTAGTCTATGGGGAGTATTTGCCAAGAACCATTTCAGTACTGCAGGCATGAAAACCATTATCAAGGGAGCTAGGCACATGAGGTAATCCATCATGACATATTGAGATCTAACTTGATATAAGTAGCAAATAAAGGGAAGATATCTAAAGACAATTGCCAAGTTTACAGATACCTTCCAACATGCCAGTTCAACTGACATGTCTTTCCAAAGGTCATCCAACTCGTCAACTGGATTACCACTGTGATTATAATTTCCATTTTCCGTGGATTCACTGTGTATGAGCTCACAAGATTTATAAGAATCTACAACAAATATCTCATGTGTCCTTTACTTTGGACATCCTTGCCTTCTCCCTCCCTTGTTTATTTCTACTCGGTTTCGTCACGACTCTGTTGAAATGCAAGATAGTGAAGATCATTGGGAGAAACAACTCCATTTATCAATCCAGATATTACGATTAATAAACAATATTGTCCCCCATATAGTCATATTCTCAAAAGAAAAGAAAAGAAGTAATCAATCAGTTTTTCTTCTTTGAAACCGAGTAGGCATATTTTCCGGAAAAAAATAATAAAACTAAAATCAAATTTCTTTGTAACCAACAGAACAAAAGAAGGATTTTAAAAAAAGAACATATTCCTATAAAAAGTACATATTAGAAATTTAATTCATAGACATCGTTGAGTTGCTTCAAGCCCAATACAGACATGATATTAGAAACATATTCCATGGCCAATGACCTCTTGTGTTATTGAGCATCTAGGCATAAATGTATGCACATGCTCGATGATTACCAATAGTTATATTGATTATCATTTCCGGAGTTAACAGCGAAGCAGACCTCATTGTAAATGTTTAAGTCATCATGTCCTTGTGGCTCTGAAGTATTATGACCATCATGAAAGCAATTTCAACACAAAGCATTTTATCATGCTGGCATAAGTTTAGACAAATTCGATACTGTTAAGCGGTTGGCGGGGCTCGACTAAATAATGAGGCAATTGGGCACTAAAATGATTATCTATGGGTTTATTTCGTCCCTGCTTTGTAAGGAACCCATAAGCTATTTGTTAGCCACCATGGGAATGAACATTTCTATTGCCTCCTCCTTTACTGGATTAACTACAAGTTGAGCTTCAGAGTTGATATTCTCATTATCCCGCATGATGATGTCCTGGTATTGGCATTGGCAAGGCTGCGCAGCCAGCATGATATATTTCGCGTCCTTGAAAATATGAACATCCATGACCATGGGTGCGGTTGGGAGGGTGGAGCATCGACGGCCCGGTACGTATGCTTCTCCTGTATACTCTCTGGTTAATTGCCATTACAGGTTCGATCTTTCTGAGACATAAATTGCCTCGAAGTACACGGTCAAAAAAGCTATAGCTTACTTCATAAGGCTAAACAACAGCTCAAGCATCGCACCCTCTGGCCATCTCACAAAACCCCATACATACAAGTGCTAGCCACAAACAATATTATCGATCAAGCGACATAGTTGGCCTTCTCTTGCTGCATCGCATCCGCGATCTTGGACCATTTCGTGCGGGCGGTGATCACCACCAGCGTGATGGTTTGGCAAGTCAGCCCGCAGATCAGACCCGACCATAAACCCTGTAAAAAAATGTGCATCTGTTCAGTGCTCCGGCCAGCTCGTTATGTTTCAGAATGGAGTACGAGCTGCTTGCTACCCCACATTCCGCAATGGAAAGGGCGAGAGCTCTCGATAATTACTCTACCTTGGTGTAGAAGTTGAGCTTGAAGGCAAAGAGGATGGCCAACGGCATGCCGATGAAGTAGAACGCCACAAGGTTCGTTATTGCCGCCAGGTGCTGCCATCCGCGGCCCCTCGCCACCCCTGTCGTCACAAGCCGATTTATTCGTCAATTTGCGGAATTGTTTAGCACGAGCAGCGGCATCCCGATATATGATTTCATATCCGTGGCATGAAATTATCTCTTCAGTGCACGTAAGTGATTCTTGAAGATTGGTTTAGGTAGTTAGCTGATGGATCTTTTTCTCACCTGACAGCACGCCCTGCGCGGAGTCGAGCACGATCGATACCATCACGAGCGGGGTGATGGCCGCGAATTCTGCCGCAATCACCTCACTCCCGCTGAAGAGCCTCGCCCAAAGGCCGTGGCCGAAGCCCAGCAGCAGGACGAAGGAGAAAGCGAGGAACACCGACAACTTCAGCGTCACCGTGACCGCATTCTTCGCCATGTCGACGTTCCCAGCTCCGATCTCATTCGACACCCGGGTGCTGCAAAAGGTGCAAACAATGAAATGACAGGTCGTGCTTACAACAACAAAGAAATAACTTGAGATTGTACGTACCTTACAGCGGCACTGAATCCGTAGGTGATCATATAGGCAATCGCCTCCGTGCTCGCCCTGCATTAGAAGTTCAAGTCCATTCGTTCATGAATCATGGGTCATGGCCTACGGATAACATGATGGAACAATGCTTCTGAAGCCCCATCGGACGGTATTGAAGAGTGAACATACCACATGGCGATCAATGACGTGCTCACTGTGGAATTCGGTAGCAGGCCCGCGATAAGAACCAGAAGCTCAAACGCCCAGTACTCCAAGCTGCATGCACTCAACAAACTCAGAATCAATAATGGGAAATGAAAATTGTGTAGCACGTGTGGTTGACAATAATATTGTGTATAATCATATATGGACTCACCAAACCATGATGGCGGAGGGTGTGGCGAGCTTGATCGTCGGCAGCACATAGTTGAACGCGTCGGGGGAGAAGCCCTTCCACGTCTCGCTAAACTTCTTGGACCACATCACGTACCCAAGCAGCATCAGGCAGGAGAACCAGAAGGTGGTGGAGATGGCGGCAGATGCGCCGGCGAGGCCAAAGCCGAGCACGTTCACCAGAAGGTAGTTCAGCGGGACGTGGACCACGAATGGGACCACGGAGCAGACGACGAGCGGCACGACAACAGACTGCGTCTGCAGGTACCGCAGAAGGCACTGCAGGAAGGAGAAGGCAAACAGGCCGGGGATCTGGTACCGAATGAACACCGCGGCGGCGCGGGACACCTCGGGCTCCTGACGCAGGCACAGAAGCAGCGGCTCCGTGAACAGCCAGATGACGGCGATGGCCACGGACACCACCGCCGACATGATGAGCGACGACTGCAGGTACAGTCCTAGCATGCGGTATAGTTGGGCGCCATAGGCCTGCCCGCATAGCGTCTCCAGGGCGCCGCTCATACCGGTCTGAAATGTTCATCATTTTTTGCATGTGAGTTACTTTGCTGGATTTTAGGAGTTTGGACGCAATGCCACAATGTTCATCTGCAGAACAAGTTATGGACTTGTTGGGACAGTAGTCTATTCGTAAGTCGCCTGAATTTTTTTTAATGCAAGTCACCTACTTTCATTGTGTTGTACTCTAGTTTTTTCTCTATTTATTACATATGTACTCTAGTTTTTTCATCGCGGTGTCCCGGTTTTCACCTCGGAGCTTTTGAAATCAGCTGACCGAAATGTACTTTCGGCTTCAGTTTCAGGCAGCTGACTCCATCTCAAAATTTTGGCAGAATTACCAAGGCGACTAATCGAACGAGAGATGTATCGATCACACAGCATCTGAAGGGGTGCAATTAATTAATAGTACGCGATCTAATCGAACTTCGACAAACCAAGATTAACCCAACAAATCAAGAGTGTGTGGTATAGCAAATTATCAAAAGAAAAAAAGAGTGTGTGGTAGCAAATTATCAGAAGAAAAAAGAGTGTGTGGTAGCAGGCAGAGTACGTACGACGAAGGCGTAGCCGGTGACGGTGGCCCAGGAGTTGCCGAGCGTGGCGCCGGCGAGGTCGACGTTGCCGAGGTGGCCGGAGAACATCACGGACACCAGCGGGATGCCGTAGTAGGACATGTTGGTCAGGACCATCGGCACCGCGAACCGCAGCTGCGCCCATGCCTCCTCCGTGTCGATCAAGCGGCGTAACCACGCCTGCGAGCGGGGCCTCGCCTCGCCGTCCTTGCCGTCGGCGGGCTCGCGCGCACCGGGCGGCGGGGCCGAAGACATGTCGGCCCGCCGCACGAGAGAGGAGAAGAGCTCGGCTAGATCGTGGGCGTGGGGCGCCGATGGCGATGTGGATTGGAGATTAGCGGGTAGCAGCGGGTGAGCCGCCTTGAACCCTGTTGTTTTTGTTGTTTTTGGTAAGCGGGTACCAGCGGATGGCGAGATAGCGGTCCAAATTGAAAACTGCTTTCCAAAAATTACGCATCTCCATTTTCTGTTGTTTTTGGTAAGTCATGATTTGCTGCCATGAAATATAGAAATTGATGGTTCCCATAATAAATACATTGAAAACTCTATTTTCGTTTTTTAAGTCTGTGATTGCTTCCAACAAACAAATACAGAAAATAAATTCATCACAACAATTACAGATTTTCTTAGGGCATCTCCAACACCAATCCTCAAACCGCCCGCATACGTCTGGACCCCGCGGTCCGGACCGCGGAAGCCATACAACGCAGTCCTGTATCGGTTCGCTCGGCGGTCCGGACGCGCTTTCTCCTGCAATGTGGAGATAAACTGGGGGTGGGTTGCCGGAGTCCGGACAACAGTTGGACTCTGACACCTCAGGCCCACAAAATCCGTCCTTCCGGTCCAATTTTCTTTCACTCCGCCACTTCTTCCCTTTGCTTTGCATCTGCACTCTCCACCTCGCCGCCGTTGTACCTCTTCGGCCGCCACACAAGCATTGTTGGACGTTCACAATCAACACCGACGCGCCCGCTCGCCTTTTACGATGGCACTATCCCCCTTGGAGCCGTTTGTACCCAGGTACACTCTGCCACCATGTCGACGACCTCCATGGCGGCCACTACGTCCGCAAGTGTTCGGTCAAATGTAATTGAGCTTATTTTCGAACGCCATGTTGATTTTTCAGAGTAAGAAGGATTGCGGGGTACTCGACCATGGGGATGAGTTGTTGTGCGATGCGTGATTGGTCGTATCCGCGGATTTCGTAGGCAAGAGCAGAGGGATGACCTTCTGGTAGCAAGTGCATGAATTGTTTCATGCACGAAAGCACATTGCGTCCTGCGACATGCATATCACCCATGATCGCAATGTGAGGTCAATATCGTATCGATGGTACGCCATCCAGACCATCGTCACCAAGTTTTGTCATGTAGTTGCTCAGCTGGAGTCAAGGTGGTCATTGCACGCAAGTTTTGCTTCTCCTTCCACAACTTGTTGATTGAATCATTCATTCACTCAATATTCTTTTGCACGTTGTGTAGCCCATACGTGTTGTAGTGATGTACCACAGGAATGAGGGAAGACCATTTACGTACACACACTATTGGGTGAAGATGGAGGGGCAGTATGTGTGGGACGACATGATCCGCTTAAAAACTTGTTGGACATCAAATTTGAGACATGGTTGTACTAGACTTATTTGCATGCTATGTATAGATGATTTGTGCTATTTTCTTTCCGAACTTTGATGAATAGCTGGTTTGCATGAATTTCATCTGCTAAGTCAAAATCTGACTTGAGATGTATGTGGGCAGTGTTGGATGGCCGGCTCCAACATTCATGTCCGCGAACTAGTCTCTTGTCCACGGAAGGATACCGAAGCAAATTTACGAGTCAACATTGAAGATGCCCGTACGTAGCAAAACATTTTACCATAATTATTCAAATTTGCATCCAATACAATTAATTCGTGCTTCCACTTTTCCATCCAATGCAACTAATTCATTCTTCTACCTTGTTAGTAATATTGTGTATTAGGTAGCTTCGTTTGACAACAAATTAATTTATACTTTTCTTTATTAGAGAATTTGCTTCTTTGGTGAATGAAATTTATTTGAAATTCATGTCCTATGTGACATGATATTCTGTTTCACAAGCATCTCCATCTTGCTTTTCTTCTAACATGCTTCCATCAAAAAGGAAATTATTCCTCATATTTGGTGTACACAACATACTCCAGTGTCCTTAGGGCATCTCCAACGCGGACCGTCAAACCACCGGCACCCGTCCGGACCGCACGGTCCAAACATGTTTTGCCATCCAATACGCTCCTATATCGGTTTGCTCGGCGCTCCGGGTGTACTTTTCCCGTAAATTGGGAGCGGGGAAGGGGATTGTGGGAGTCTGGACCGCCGCCACCACGTGGGACTTCCAACACCCTCGGCCGACTCAAATCCTCCCTCCCAGTCCCATTCTCTTCCACTCCCCCCTGTTTTGCATCCACACCCTCCTCCTCCGATGTCGCCATTGTACCTATCTGATTGCCACCCAGACATTGTCGGACGTCCTCAACTCCTGCCAACGTGCCTACTTGTCTAGTACAACGGTGTCGTCCACTCAGGATTCATCCGCAGCCATGTACCATTTGCCCCCATGTAGACATTGTCCATGGCGGACACCACGCCCGACAGGTGTTTGGTCAAATGTCATTGAGTTCATTTTAGAACTTCATGTCATTTTTAGAGTAAGAAGGATGTCAGGGTACTCGGTGAAGGAGGAGTTGTGTGATGCGTGGTTGTTGTATCTGTGTACTTCGTAGGCAGGAGCAGAAGTGGGTCTTTTGGCAACAGGTGCATTGCATGGGTTCGTTTCATGCGCGAAAGCACATTGTGCCCTATGGCATGCACATCATTCTCTAAGAACGTAGTGTCAAGTCCTTAGCGTATCGATTATACACCATCCAGAGCTCCGTCGTGAAGTATTGTGGCGCGGTTGATTGCCTAGAGGCAATGCGGCCATTGCGTGCATCAACCATGAAGATCGTAAGTTTGCTTCTTCTTACTCTACATGTTGATTGATTCTTTCACTCGTTGTTGCTCTACATGTTGTGTAGTGTAGACGCGCTGTCGTGATGTATTACAAGTCAGATAACAGACCATTCACACACAAGCATTATTGGATGAAATTCAAAGGGCAATATGTTTGGGACAACATATGCCGGGACTCGAGCTAGTATTCTTGAATTTGATCTATTCATGAAAATTTTGTTGAACATCAGATTAATCTCGTTGAATTTATAACTATTGTTGTAGTAGACATATTTGCATGCTAATGGCTATTTTCTATCCGAATTTTAATGAATTCCATCATGATTGATGAAAAATTATCCGGTTAATTGAAATCCGGTTAAAAAACAATTCATTGTTGAATGGTGAAAGCGCCCAGCAATCTAGAAGGCGAAAATGGGTCAACAAATAGATTGAATATGTGATGGATGCACTACCTCTGTATGCGGATAAAGTTGGATGGTCGGCTCCCGCATCCGTGATTCTTCCTATCCACTAATACGCGATCTAATCGAGGTTCGACAAATCATGAGAGTGTGGTAGCACCTAAAAAAAGAGTGTGTGGTAGCAGAGTACGTACGACGAAGGCGTAGCCGGTGACGGTGGCCCAAGAGTTGCCGAGCGTGGCGCCGGCTAGTTGGACGTCGCCGAGGTGGCCGGAGAACATCACGGACACCAGCGGGATGCTGTAGTAGGACATGTTGGTCAGGACCATCGGCACCGCAAACCGCAGCTGCGCCCACGCCTCCTCCGTGTCGATCAAGCGGCGTAACCATGCCAGCGAGCAGGGCGTCGCCTCGCCGTCCTTGCCGTCGGCGGGCTCGCAGGCACCGAGCAGCGGAGCCGAAGCCGAAGACATGTCGGCCCGCCGCGCGAGAGGGGAGAAGATCTCGGTTGATTTTGTGGTGTCTGGTGCCGATGGCGATCGACGAGATATAGCGACGTGGACTGCGGGACTGGAGATTAGCAGATAGTGGCGGGTGAGCCGCCTTGACCCCTTTTTTGTGCGGTGCTTGTGGGCTGCGGCGTGCGGAACGCATGGTGGTGGAGAAAAGAAGATAGGGCGTCGTACACATTTATATTGGATTTTCCGACGAGTGGTGAACATTTAATGCTCCAGTGTTTAGGACAATGCGAAATTGTAGTACAAATCCGAACTTATTCATGACGTGCGAAATAGTAGTACGTCATACTCCCTACATCCATATATACTGGGCCTAATGTGTTTTCGAGGTTGACTTTGACTATTGATAATAAGATTAATAGTATATGAGTTGTATAATATGAAAATTATATCATTAAAATCTCGTTTCACGTAGGAATTTAACTGTATGCTTTGTGTAACTTACATGTCATATATTATTGCTCTAACATGTGATCAATTTTTGTCTCAAAAATGTATTAGGCCCTGTATAGATGTATAGAGGGAGTATCAAACATTTGGTGGTAAAAGTGTAGAGTTGCCTTAGGGCATCTCCAGTGCCGGCCCATCAAATTGGATACGTAAAATTCATGAGCACACACGAAATTGTCCATAAAAAAGGATAGAGGGCAGCCACATAACTCGGCGCACTAAATCTACATTATAAATGGGTATTAAGAAGAAGAAAAAGTATGCGAATCGGAACAAAATTTAAGCAATTTTTCATATACTATGTGCAAATCGGACGCTATTTAACAAGTTGGACTATTTGTTTTAGAAAAGACTAAACTAAGTGAGATACCGGATAGTGACCTCGTAGACATGTCCTCTGAGGCAATCCGATCCGTCGTCGTCCTTCTAGTGGCAATCAATCTCCCATTTTGTCATTGGGATATAGGAATCACTGTAAAATTGAGTCAACTGCTATGCACCACTCCCTCTGAAGATCTAACAATCAATCTTGGCCAGATAAGACAAATAGATCGAAAAGCATACATAGCTACTTAATTATCTACTACCACTATAAAAGGAAGAGAGGGGCAGATTCAAACAATCTGGTCCATCCATCAGCTAAATCCAATGGCCCTTAATCCTTCGGTGTTTAACACTGCAAACCACGCATTAAGCCACTAACAAGCCATCGATTGATAACCCAGCCCCGCCGTAAAAAAAAAAGACAAAACCGATCGCACGACTCTCGCCCCTGCCCGCACAACCTCCCTCTTTGCACGACTCTCGCCCTACGCGCACGACCTCCCCCTCCTCCTCCCGCGCCGTTCGCCGCCCCGCAAACTCCGGCAGCTGTTAGCCGCGCTTCGCCGCGGGAGCCGCCGTAGGAGCCGCTCGCCGCTGGAGCCGCCGCCCGTGGAAGCCGCAGCGGGAGCCGCTCGCCGCTCGCTGCATGAGCCGCCGCGGGTCGCCGCTATAGCCGGAGCCGCCGTTGGTCGCCCTTCGCCGCAGGTCGCCGCCAGAGCCGCCCCGCCCCTGGATCCGCTCGCCGCCGGAGCCGCCTGTCGCGCTCCCACTCAGCTTGGCCTCCGCCGCGCCGCCCCCGGTCCTCAAGCAAGTAAGTTTGCCTTGCGTTCTGAAGCTCAACTATTCCTAATATGTAGACTAGCTACCTTAGAGTCTGATGAACCGTCAATTGGATGGACTGATGAAGCACGAGGGAGAAAGATGTGGTTGTGTCCAGACTCCAAAGAGGGCAAAATAGTAGTTCAATAATTTCCGAAATTGATGGTATTGCCTGAGATATGATGCTTGCACACAAGAGAAGTTCATGCTTGTGATTGCAAAATCGGTGTATATGTAAAGATCTTGTCCTGGTTTCATGAACTGGCTGAGATTTTTGGAAAGTCTCACTTGGGCAGGACAACTATGGTCTTGATTATATGTATGTTGACTTTCCCACTTTTCTTTTGAGCAGGTTACTTCAATTTTAGGTGAGCTAGCAGGGATCACAAGCATCGGTGTTGCATTCCTGAATCTGACATACACAAGTAAGTAATATTCTCCCTCACATAAAGTCTTTTTAGTGCATGTATAGAGTTTTGCTCACTTTCTTTCTAGCTAGCTGCTGCATTCATTTCTTTCCGTGGCATCGTATAGTTTATACCTCAGAGAGGTCATTTTAGTGCAGGATGTTCTGGTGTAGCTACCATTAGCTTTACTGGAGCAGAGCAACATTTAATAGGAATTCCACCATAAATATTTACCTAGATACAACATTCTTCTCTGGAATTTGAGTTTTTTCCAGAAGGTTTAGGATCTAAGGATGAGCTATCAGTGGTACTGATTATACAACGAGTTTGTACAAAATGTTTGCTGGTGTTGGGTGTTTACCTTTTATCACTTCTATATCCCCTTATTGTGTTTCTCTGTTTCTAGAAAGTAGGCCATTTGTTCCAGCCTTTCAAGTTTGTGCTATAACCTGAAGGAGTTCATTATTGACCAGCAGTTAAAAGCAGGTTCAGTTTTTTACCTCATTTTCCATCCCCACAGTAGCACTTTCTGTTAGTTCGAACAATATATCAATGCATTATTTACACACCTAGCTTGTGCTCTGTGACCAGAATTGGTAAACTGTAGCCGTGATAGTACTACACTGTATTCAGAAATAGCAGGAGGAGATAAAGCTAGGTGTTGCATATAGGCCGGTGGTGGACCCTTTTAGAGCTGACCTTCCTTCAAAGTTGGATATCATCTACAGTAACCTCACTGCATCCATAGATCAACTGAACAAACAAAAGGCACTTAAGATCTTTACTGGTATCCAGGATGTGTTGTCTGACCATCTAAGCGAACTGGCCCACTATGCTAAGGAATTAGGACAGTTCAGTTACTTGATTGGACTGTTTAGCATGCAGAAATTGGAAGCAGGCTTAGAAAAACACCACCAAGCTTGAAAGCAGAAAAAGATGCACACACTCACCATTATTATCTTCTTGTGATAATTTTAGGCTTGTACCAAGAAACTTGAAGAGGCAATTTTAGTTGGTGGTGTGCTTTAAAATTTTATATTGCTGTTCGGTGTTTCTCCATAATCGTGTCTTCTATTTTTTTTAGAATTTTCTAGCATATGAACTATCACATGAATTTTCCTAGCTTTGGTGGTCGCGCCGCCCAGGACGCCGGCGGCGGAGACGAAGGCAATTTGTACTGGGACATCATGGCCGAGCCGCAGGACCTCCGCCTTGACGAGCTGCTGGACCTAGGCCTCGACAAGAGGCCGGACCTCAGCCTCCCTCTGGTTTTCATGGTACGGTCCCTTCCCCTCTCCACCAAATCTTGACTTGTGTGTTGTTCTGCTCTGCACTGATTGTATTGCCATTGTTATAACTCTTCTAAATCCATTTTTGATATGGTGGCCCGCTCCAGCTGGAACAGTTTTGTAGAGACAAATTGGAAGAGTGCAGCTGCCCTGGCTCATGGAATTGGAAGAATTTATGTTTTTTCTACTCAGAAAGGAAGCTATTTTTTTCTGGATCATAGATAGAAAGGATGCAACTTTGTCACGGGTAGTAGATACAAAGTTTAGAGTCTACAACATATAAACCGGAAGCCGTGCTTCCGGTTTCAACATATAAACATTTTTGGTCATACAATCTGAAATTTTAGCATTTCACATAGACAACCTATCATTTGTGGTTCACCACATTTACATGCTCTGATTCCCATGCTCATGTGAATAAGTATATGGCAGAAATTTCAAAGTATCATGTCAGTTAGAATTATCACATGGGTACCCATTTTTCTCCGTGAAAATACCTCATGTAATGCTACGTTCCATATTTTCTACATTATGATAAGTTCATAGTTTATATATTGTTTCAACATTATATTCTGTACTGAGACATGCAGCCATACATTCTATTTCTGCTTCAATATATTCTCCCATGTGCATTCTAATAGACAACTGGCCCTCTTTTTTTGTGATAATGAACTGCGTGATTAATGATAGTCCTTGATGAAATGCCACTAAGTTAGTCTACTATCTCAAGTCAGATTCGATAATAATTTATTTTACATTGCCATCTTTCTTGATTACGGACCGTGCCGTTCCAGATGATCTAAGGTAATCAGATCCAACACCAAAATTCAATTTGAGTTGCTTTTAAATGCTTCTGGGAGGCAGATGATGTTGATATGCTACATTGTAGTTTATGTTTGGTAGGCTATGATATTTTTGCCCTAAAATGTCACATTTCTTAATTCCAAAATTTAATTGTAGGCTGAACATGAGCATGTCTGTTTGTGGTGTTGAGGTAAAGCTCAGTTTGTTACACAGCAGAGCCAAGGGCATGTCGTGGACCAAGTACAGCAAGCTGGGCAGCGTGTGCAGGTTGACATGCTGCAATAATATGCTTTTTAAACTGCTACAACGCATGGCCATTCGGCCATTCTCTAAATTAATGCTTATATTGTTAGCATAGACCTTTCAGCTAAACATGGTTATGGTTAGAAAGAAAAATAGTACTATTAAATCTTACTGATTTATTTCATATAACCGTTTATTTTAGCGAGGACAATACTTTTGTAAAGTCTACTCTGCTCATTTGCATATTTTCAACTATATATGACAAACTAAAGTTCAGATTATGTTTGGGCAACCTAATCTGAGGTTTAGATTATACGTGTCATGATATAGACTGCATTGCTCATCCTTCTATTTTTCTCTATTTTTTCTTATTCTGCAGCTAGCTTCGGGAGTGAAATGAGATAATACAGAGCATGACATGTGCCGATAGCATGTAAGTTGTTTTCTTATTTGTTACCTAACTTCCAGTCTCATTTCCTATTCCAAGATATGTTTTACTTCTCGCCACTTCTAGTATGCAAGTACTGTTAATCAGCTATTGCTCTGTCTTATTTTGATCAGTTTATCTCATAGCATTGGTCACAAATGACTTCTAACTAATTTAATAGCATGTTGTCAGTTCGTAAGGTTCCCATGACCAATTGTAATGAGCGGGCCCCATTAGCATCTGCAGGTACGAGAACCATGTAACAATAATAACATGCACTTGGGTGCTCATACAGTACACACGCAGCAACAAAGGCTCCTTGAAACACACACTCAACTGCCTGCAAATTAGTTTTCTTTTGAAGAAATCAGCTTTCTGGTTTGAGTAAGCGTGAACGGCATTCCTAGCTAGGGCCAACAACAATAAGGTGAGAGCTATCACAGTGATGGATATAATGCTAGAGGAGCTAAATTGCTTACCTTATGATATTCAGGGTTCCGTAGTTTGTTTCTAGCAATCTTTGTATCATTTCCTTAACTCCATGGTCATGTAGTTATAACTACTCTCTTGTATTCCATATACGTTCGTCTAGGAAATTGGAGGAGCTGAATTCTATATTGGTTCCTTGTTGACGTCTGACCCTGTTGATGTAGTTCTGTATTGTACAGGTATAAATTCCGAATCTCAAACTTCCAACAATATTTAAATTCTTTAGTAATAACTCTGCATGAGTGTCATCTTTAAGGCTCAGAAGCTGGTAATAAAAAAATTGCTTGGTCATACAATCTGAATTTTGACCATTTCACACACACAACCTATCATTTGTGGTTCCGTCAATATCACATATAATCCAATAATTGGACAATATATACTTCTACAAGACAGTGCCTTTTAGTTGGGCTGAATTATACGACATGTTATTGCTCATAGTCATTTGCCAACATTGTGCAAATGGTTTCCACCAAAGAACATGTAGTGTTATTTTTAAATTGTGATAGGTTATGTTCTTCTTTTTTACTCGCTTCCTCGTCTCATTCTTGATAACCGAAGCACCATTGCTTTCCATTCAAGTAATGTATGTTGGCAAAAAGAAGGTTTTATAGCTCTCAAATCCTTGCCAGTTGTGTTCTTCTTTTATGTCTTTAATAGCATGAACAAATATATGTTCAGGTGATTGCACTTGTGGAAGGATTAGCCCACTAGTGCTCAGAGGGAACGTGCATTCTAAGCCAGATTCAGGTGCTCTGCTCCAGCCTTCAACAAGTCAATCTTGTTAGTACTATGGAGTGCAAACTATGCAGATGATGTTTGTGTTTTGAAGTTTCTACTAAAACACATATAACTCTTTGGGTGGGTCAGGTGCCCCCTTTCTCATACAATTGAGCCGTGTTCACTTTGAGTGTAACTTGTAGCCTTGTAAATTAAAGAGAACATGTGTTGATTCCCCAGTTTATAGCTGACCTTGCACGCCAAAGTTGGACAAGATATTATTGAGCTAAAGATATTCAAATCCAAGGCTGAGGCTAATATCGTAGCTATGCCCAAGGCCTTGAATAAAATAATCCGGTGTGTTACTGGGATGGAGACATTGGAGCAATTTAGTGCGAATATACACCCCTTTTTCAATGAGAATGGAACTAGCAGTGATATGTGCTTTTGTTTGTGTGTTTAAGCATAATGCTTTTGTTTTATGTTTTCACATATAAGAATGCGTATAACCATTTTGTGAGAACAAACTTGGAATAGATGCTTGCCAGAGAATAATAATATTAGTTAAGACGTGCGTTGCATGTGTATGTTTACTAGTATAAAAAAATTCAAGAGATTCAAATAGATTTAGTGAACAATCTGATCATAAACACACAATTCATCATGTCCCAACAAACATATCGCAAAATTACATCAGATTGATTTCAATCACACAAGAAAGAAGGGGAATATGTATTGAAGATCCAAGAGAGAGAGAGAGAGAGAGAGAGAGAGAGAGAGAGCACCATCTAGGCACTACAATGGATTCGTAGGTCCTGAAGAAACTACACACACATGGTCATGGAGGCAACAAAGTTGATGAAGAGGCCTCCTTCAATGGCTTCTCTCTCCGACAGGGCTCTGGAATAGTGCTCCAAATGGGATCTCTTCGGAATAGAGACTCGGCGATAAAATTCTTCTGGAGGAACGACAAATGGTTTCAACATTTGAAGGGAATTATGGCGGTGGAATCAGGTCAAGGTGGTAACCAGGGGCCCACAAGCTCAGGTGACACGCCCACCCCCTGGCCGCACCAGGTGGCCTTTGTGGGTGACTGGCGGGTCCACTCAACGCTTCCCGAAGCTTTCGGTGCTTCTTGTTGCCGAAAAAATCATGTTAAATCGACAACGTATTTTGGCCTCTATGGATATTGAATTTTTGCGAAATTAAAAACAAGCAAGAAACATGAACTGGCATTGGACACTAAATTAATAGGTTAGTACATAAAAAAATATAAATTTCTATTAGAAGTATATAGAAATGATAATATAGCAACATTAAACAATCAAAAAATATAGATACATTTGATACGTATCACCCACCAGACCGCAGGAGGAGGACGACGACGCCGATGATTCGGATGAATTTGATGCGGATCGAAAGAAGAAAGGCATAGGAGAAAGCTTTAACACGCGGGTGGACAAGTCGTTGTGCGATACATGGTTGGCAACTAACATCAATTTGATCCATGGGACGAAGTAAAAGTGCTACATTTTGGGCCAATTTTCACACTTGGTTTCATGAGCATTTCGAACCCTATTTTGATAGGCTCATCCACAACAAACATCGATGGTACATCATGCAAGAGGTCGTGTCCAAGTATTGCGACCACTTGAGGCAACTCTTCAACCGGTGGCCAAGTGGTGCACAAATCTCCGAGCAGGTAAGTTGTTAATATGTGTTGATCATCTGGTCGGATAAGCATTGTTCTGCTGGTCATTTCGCCGAATATGCATTGTTGTGTTGATCATTTGGCCGGACATGCATTGGTGTGTTCATCATTTGGCCGGATATGCATTGTTGTATTGGCCGTTTGTCCGGATATGAATTGTTGTGTGATTGTGTTGATTATTTAGCCGGATATGCATTGTTCTATTGGTCATTTGATAATGATTTTTTGCAGCCTTCTTGTGGATGCAATGTTTTCTTGAAGTTAGAGAAGATGAACTTAATCGTCATGCATTGTTGGTTGAAGTTGAATGTGCAACCCAAGTGGGATCTATTCATTGCCAAGACCGCCAACATATGTGCTGAGGAAGAAACCCGTGATCCAATCGAACCAACAAAAGAGTCAACCAAGAAGGTTAGAAGAGGGTTCCGGGAAAGAAGCGGGGGAAGGAGAAGGCGAAGCGAGAATGGGTAGCGACCACGATGACGAAGAGATTCGAGGACATCTTGTCCAAGAAAGAGGTGGCATACGTCAAACGCTCCAACGTCAAGGTGGCATGGAAGACCAAGAGGTTTAACATATTGATGGCGACGACCGACAAGAAGATAACACTCGAAGGCAAGAAGGTCATGCTCAAAAAGAAGAAGGTTGAGATTGCATGATCGGCGACAAAGTGAGCGATGAGGCTTAGATGGTCGGTCCGGCAGGGCGTTTTTTGCACGGACTGACGGACTGATATTCTTTTGTGACCGGGCATGTAAAAACTATTCATACTTGTCTCTTTTTGGTTCTGGTCAGGTACTGTGTGATCTAGCGCACGCTATGTGATCAGGAAGATTTGAATTTCGAATTGACTGTACCTGGGCCGACTCTCATATCAGTGTCTGTAGACGGTCTCCACCGGTCCATAGACGGATACATTGTCCAGCTTGGGTGTCAACAGTGGAGATGCCCTAATCTCGTTTGCTTAGAGTTTAGGTATGGGAATGATGCCTCTAGGGGAGGGGTGATGACAATGGCATCTATGTGATGTCCTGGCGAGACCCTCTTTGGAATGGTGTGCGTGAGGTTTTTATGTGTGCCACTCAGCCGGTTGTTATGGTTTTCGCCTGATTTTTCATAATCAACTGAGCAATCTGAGTTCCCCTTTCTTTTCAATGAATGCAGAAATTCTGCCATTTTGGAAAAAAAAATGTTGAGAACCTAAATATCACAATTGTATGGAAGGCATGCAGGGATGTTACCTCCAAATAGTTGCTTCAGGGGTAATATGGCATGATAATGATGAATGTTGCACTTTTTTGCCAGTGTATTCATTGCTGGATTTTAAAAATAGTTTTCATACCTCCCAAATGATTTTGATTTGGAACTTGATTTTTTTCCTGTTTCTTTCGGGGGTCTGCTGTTTTATTGAGAGGTTCTCTTTTCTGGAGAGCGGATTTCTTTTATTTATCCATGGGGGGTGACAGCCCAACAGCACATGGGAATTTAGCCTCATCCACTTGACGCAGAGCCTCCAGCCCAGTCCAGGTACAACCGCGGAAGTGGAACCGCAGACCTGGCGAGAAAATGGAGGGAAAAGGTGCAGAAGCGAGGGAAAACTCTCTTCGCGTTCCCCAAATGCGCGCACAGATGGAAACCTACGCCGACCTCGGCCCCGACGGCGGCAACCCTACTCCGGCGAAGCCGGCCATGGAGGAACCACGCGCTGCCACCGATGTCGCTGCGGACCCATACCTCGCCGGCACCGACGCGCTCCCCGCCTCCCACCTGGTACGCTCTCCCCTCCGCCCTCCGCCCTCCGGGTACCACTCGATGAGTTCTCCGCCACCGCCCGTTTTGTTCAATTCCGTGTGTCTTAATCTCGCAGGGTACTGACGCCGGCGCGAGGAAGCGGAAGGCCCCGGCTATGGCGACGGGGAAGACTCCCAGGAAGCCTCGCAAGCCGCAGGTCTGTAGTTTCACTGTACCCGTCCCCCCTCCCCCCTGCAACTGCAATCTACAGTAGGTTTGTAGTTTGATTCGTCTGAATCTGTTGCATCTGTGTTGTGCATTGTTTGGTGGTGTAGGTTGAAGAGCCGATTCAGATGCCTGTGTACTATGGACTCACAAAAGAGTTTCTCAGCGTGGAAGGCAATGATTTAGTTGAAGATTGCTCAGACCTCTTTGTAGAGAATAAGTGTGCGCATGTCATCGGCGAGCTACCGCTGCAGCCACAGTCCATGTCATTGGTGGATCTACAGCTCTGGGTCTTCAAGCTGTTCCGGCTCCATCCAGAAACACAAGATCTTGATATCAAGGGATTCTTCAAACAGCACAAAAGGGACCTCACTGACGACGAGTCCTCCGAACCAGACTGTTCTTTGGAGTACTACCCGTGGGACATACATTATTTTAGGACTGACAAATGCTGGAGTTCCTTTGCCAATAAATTGAAGAGAAAAAGGAATGTGACGCAGAAGTTCATGTTGTATGTGCAATCTTCTGAGATCAAGCACTACCACATTTTGCTCAAAGCTGTAAATGCCGATTATTCTCAACTGGCGACGGTTGTTTTGCCCGGCACGAAAAGCCTGACGGGTCGCTTCAGCTTTGGTGCCCTTGTGGAAGACCCAACAATGACAGCTGAGGAAATTGCAGATTATCTCACGCGTCACTATGGTGAGCAGATTAGTCCTGTTGAGGCGTGGAGAGCAAAACAGTTTGCTCTGGAGAGTAAATTTGGAACCTTTTATGATTCACACAACTTTGCCCCGAGGTTACTCAAGGAAATAGCACGTAAAAACCCTGGTACTTTTGTTGACATCAAGGATGCGGTGGTTGCAGGGTGTAAAGATTTTCGAGTCCTCCAGCGTATGTTTTGGGCATTTGGACCGTGCTTACAGGCCTTCTGTACCTGTCGCCCTGTGCTATGCATCAAGGGCACACCACTATGCGGGAAATATCAAGGGATGCTGTTGACTGCTGTAGCATCAGATGCTAATGATTTCTCCATTCCAGTAGCATGTGCTGTTGTCGAGAATGAGACCAAGGAAAGCTGGCTGTGGTTTCTTAGGAATTTGGAGCGAGCAGTGGTGCATCAGTCTGATGTGTGCATTCATACACGACTACAAAAAGGAGTTGATTGATGCTGTGGAGGACCTTCTGAATTCCCGTGAGCGACAGTGGCGTAAAGCAGAAAGCCGGTGGTGCATGGAAGACCTTGCTGAAAATTTCTTTGCATATTTTGGCGACAAGAAGCTGGTGATGATGTTCAAGAAACTTTGCCAGCAGAAGCGACGCCATAAGTTTGGCAAAATCTGGAAGGAGCTAGACGAGCTGACATCCACATATATGGCGGAGAAAGAACATGATGGTAGTGGGGAAATGCAGCAGAAATCAGTCGAGCATGATGTGGCAGAGCTTGAGGTGCAAAGCCCGCGCAATCAACATGATTCAGTTGGGGATGTGAAGGAAGGAGATCATGCCGATGACAGCAACAGAAAGATAACAAAGTTCTCTGACTGGATCGGTCCGAAACCAAAGGAGAAGTGGTCACTGGCATACGATCGAGATGGAGCAAGGTATGGCATCATGGGCAGTGATACAACTGATGCATATAAGAACGACCCTGTATTGAAAGGGATAACATGCCTTCCGCTCAGTGCGATAGTGGAGGTGACATTCCTGCGCTTGGTAGAGTACTTCAAAAACTCAAGTGTCGCAGCAAACAAAGCGATCGGCAACCCAATAATTAACTTCCCTGAACATGTCCAGGTTGACCTGAATTCCAAAATGCAGAAATCCGAGACACATAGACTTATGTACACATACGCCGATGAAAAGAATTATCTTGGTAAGGTGGTTGATCGAAAATTTACAGTCAAGGGAAGGAAGAGGGAGGTGACTGTTCACCTGAAGACGGACTATATCGTCGGCATTAATAAGTCTAAAGGATGCACAATTCAAAAAACTGCCACCTGTTCATGTGGCAAGCCACAGGTACTTCACAAGCCTTGCTCTCATGTCATTGCGGTCTGTTGTGAGATTGGGGTTAGCACTGCCACATACATGTCCCCATACTACAGCCTGCCCTATCTCGGTAGGACCTGGAGGCAAAAATTCAATAAGTTCTCACACGACTACAGAGATATCATACCACATTGCTTCAGAGGTATCATACCATTTGAAGGTGAAACAACAACTTGGATCCCAGACAAAAGATTGGAGTGTGGCCTTCCTGTTTGTCTGCCGCTGGACTGCGTACAAACTGCCGTGATCGAGGAAGAGCAACAACGCAGAACTGAAGATGGATCAGTTGCAGGCAATGATGAAGCCTAGACACACTCAGAAGAACCTAGCCAGATTTGAGATTCTAATCTCACCTGTCAAACTCTCAAGTTCTTCATATTTTGGACGCTTAGCGTGCGTTAGCCGTTGTAGTTAAGCTATCCCAGGCAAACTCTGAACCTCTGTTATTATTCGTAGTGCTTCCATGTTGCACTGGAAACCAAAGTTCTTATATCTTTGCTAGTAGTAGGTTGCAGTTTGGTTTCTGAATTTCTTGCTTGGTTTGTGCTTTCTTGAAACTCTTGTATGCTCAAGTGTCAAATCCTCCGGGAAGACACCACTTCTTTGCTGATAGTGTGACATGCATGCCATTTCAGTTTATGAAATTCTCAGTAGAAGCACTTGATAGACTCCAGTAATCTTAGTATATCAAGCAACCATTTACTGCCAGCAGTTGAAGTTTCTCTGAGCACGCACTGCTCAGGATTACAAACTACGTAAGTAGTAAGATTCTGTAAGGGTAGTGGCAACCTACGTGACATGTGAGATGGCTGAAGATGGAAGTAGAGTAGGGTGCACGTTGTTTTGGTATCTGAGAAGCTGTGCAAGACCAGTTTCAGTTTCATGTGCTGTTACAGACAGCTTGTGCTTTTTTTTTTGACATCATACAGATACCTTTGCTTGTTTTCAGGTGCAGACACAGACGTTCAGGGTTCAAAATCCTTGCCTTCTTTTTGTTACCATTGGCTTCAGAATGTTTCTCTCTGGTAGTATTGTTGTGGCCAAATTATGTGTATCATGAAATTGTTTTTTCCTTTCTTACAATTTTCATATAACAAATTTATAGATACTCCCCGCGGTAGTCATTTTTTTTATTTATCTAAATTTTGCACTTTAGTTCTGTCCTGGTTGCAGTGTCTAAGAGCATCTCCAGCTGTTCGCCCCCCAGGGGCTAGAAAAAAGCGCCGCTTGGGGGCGAACCGGCGATATTTTCGGCGTGGGGGCGATCAGGTTCCCAGCCGCCGCCCCCAGACGCCCTTTTGTAAATATTTTTAAAAACATACTTGGCCAAAATTCGGCAAACACGACATAGATTCGGCGATATTTAGGCGTTCCATTGTCTTTTTGCATAATGAAAACATAATGTACTAAAAGGAAGAAAAAAAACGTTGCTGCCGCGCCTACAGGTCGAAGAACTTGCTGAAGGTGTCGTAGTCGCCGCCGCCGTCCTCCTCCTTCTTCACACTGCGGTTGTCCCTGCTGGACCCCTGCCCGGGGTCGCCCTGGCGGACTGGTTTGGCCGGCGGCGGCGCATCGTCGTCGCTATCCTTGAGGACGATGACGCATCCCTTCGCGGCCACGGCGCCAAGCGGCGATCACCTCTAGGGCGCGGCACTGGCGCTCCATCTCCAGCCGGGGCCAGTCCTCCCCCGCCTACTTCATGGCGGCCTCGTTGTCGAGTGCCGCAATGTCATCGTGCTCGCTCTTCATGGGGGCGAGCCCCGGCTCCGTCTTCGGCTTGACGAGGCGGGAGGTAGGAGCCAAAGAGGCGCGACCGCCCTTGTTGATGACGAGGGCGGCGCCGCGGGTGCCGGCCGAGTGGCATTTCCACGGGCTCGGCCTTGACGCTGACGAGCGCCGGCGACCCGGGGGAGTGGGAGGAGGATCGGGAAGAGCAGGAGGAGGAGGATCCGCCCATCATGCGCCTCGGCAGCCATAGGCCGCCACTCTAGCGTGGGGCCGGGGCCGCCGGGTACTCAAGTGGCGGACCGTTGCCGCCCTCAAGGTACTTGAGGACGGCGTGGAGCGTGCGGCCGGGGCGCCCCACGCAGGCGGCGGCCGTCGCCGTTGTTGCGCCCCCTTACCACCGGCGCGTTGTTGATGGAGGCGTGCTGCTCCGCGTGCTGGCATTCGAAGTACGCTGCCCAGTTCGCGTGGTTGCCGGCGTCGTACTCCGGGAGGTCCCGCTCCTCCTCCAGCAGAGAGGCCCGAACACGCTCGATCTCAGCGTGGAAGTATGCGGGGTGGTCGACATCGGGCGGCGGGGGCGACTGGGACGCCCCCGGCGCTAAGCCTCCACTGCCCCAGCGCGCATGTCGGGGGCGCCGCGTAGTTCACCTCATGGAGGAGGTGGGCATCCCATTCGTGCAGGTGGCGGCGGCCGAAGCCGTTGGCCGCCGCTCCATCGCCGGGGAACCGCTCTCCCATCGGCGGGGTGTGCACGCGGTGGCTTGACAAGGAGAGAGGGGAAGAGAGGGCGTCAGCGGCGAGAGAGGGGGGCTGCGGGCGGGTGCGTCCACCGGCGAGGGAGGGGGCGGCTTTTATAGCGGCCGGGAGGCGCGTCGCCGCACTGCGCAGCCCGTGTGGAATCAATGGAAGGCTGATCGAGGGCAGCCTTGGCATTGATTCTCCGCCGGAAACCGAGGCGATGAGGACGGCGATGCGCGAGGGAAGCTGACTCGACGGGCCCGCTGTTCTTTCGCGTCAAAAATGATTCCCTCGGCGCCCCCTAGCACGCCGGGTTCAGCCTGGGTTCGCCGGCGCCCAATAACCCTGATAGTAGAAGCTATATTACCGCTTAGGCTACGCCTACGGCGCTTAAGCACCGCCTAGGCACTAGGCAAAGGCCAACCGCCTCGCTTACGCCTACCGCTTTTTCCAACCTTGGCGCCGACATGGCCGCACTGTTGCTTCTTCAAGCCGATGTCCATTACGCCGAACTGCTTCAACACTTCGGCTGACACGGCAGCTGCAATGTCTCCTTACCGACCTGCTCCGTCACCTCGGCTAGACTGGGGGCTTCGCCATCCCTTCTTCAACCTACTCCAGAGACTTCGGCATCGTCAGCCGACCAGCTTCGTCACGTTAGCTGGACCGGGGGCTTTGCCTCGGCGAGCCAACCTTTACCAGCATCGCCATGCCATCGCTTCACCACCCATCAGGCAATGGGTGTGCAGATCGATTCCCAATTTTGGGAGTCACTTTTCTTCGGACTGCTACAACAAATAAACCAGGTGCTATTAGTCCTAGCAATTTTTGCTTGTTTGGGTTTATTTTTCTCAAAGAATTTTACTCTGGTTTGTTCCATCATCTGTACACAAGTCTGTCAAATGGTGGCCACATTAACGACGGTCATGTGGTGGTTCGGTCAGTTTCTGTACATAGTTCGGCGAATGCCGCATCCGGAACTCGGACCGACCTGTGAATTCAAGTTTTGCCATGCCTTTACCGCATCACGCTGACACCTTGCATCGACATTGACTTCAGGGTCAGGCCACATATTTTTAAATAAATTATCTTGCGTAAATTAATTATGTGAGGATTTTTATATATTTATATTATTATTGTCGACCTGCACTATTTTACATGTGCATGTAATCGACTTCGACTGCGTCACGTAGTCACTTCGGCAAGCCGACGCCGTCGTCCCAATCGGCATAAATCGGCTCGCGTGATCACCTTGTTGGTCGAATTGCCATACCGACATGCTCGGTTGCCTTGGGGACTTTGGCATCACTGAGAGAGCTCTACCTGATCCAGTGTTCGGCACACGGGCCATATTTCTTTTATTACTCACTTTGCATAAATTATTAATTATGCAACGATTTTTATTTATTTATTATTATTATTACTATTATCTCCGGTTTGCACTATTTTCTGTGCACAGGTAAATGATCCGGGTCGGGCAGTGTTGTCTCCTCGGTGTACTGACATACCACGTCACCTCGGTTGGACTGGGGGCTTCGTCATCACTTCATTAACCCACGTCGGGGACTTCGGCGTCACTCTGCCGGCCTGCATTGGCCGAGCCGTGTCACTACCTCGGAGTGCCGAACTCCTTGCTCGGACACCTCGGGCT